ACTTACATGACAGGACAGGCAATCAGCGAGACAAAACACCTGCGAGAACACGCAGCTGAAACACATCAGGGGAAATGATAAACTAGGAAACCAATGGGTGCAGGAACAGAGACACAACACCAGATGGAGGAATACACTAGGAAAACACAAACCCTATAGAAGACAAACTAATGAATAAGGAGAACACAAGACATAAACACAACACAAGACAGGGCTAGACACCAGGAAACAGACCACAATCCCCACAATTTTTAGTTGTTATCATCCCCCATAGGTTGTGCTCAGACTGTTCCTTTTACCTCCTAGTAGGTTTAAAGGTACGTTCTTGTCGCTGATAACATGCAGCTTTGCACGCGTCTAAAACTGTTTTTTTTGTTAGCTTTCTTTAACCCTTTTCCTAAACCTAACCTTACACCTGACCCAGAGCACTGACCCTAAACTTAACCCCCTGACCCTTGAGCCTTAACCTAATCCCCTGACCATAGTATCAGCGATAAGAACGTACCTTTAAACCTACTAGGAGGTACAGGAAGGACAGTCTGAACGCAACCTATGGGGGATCATAACAACTAATAACGACCGTTTAATGGCTGATAACATTTGAAGCGGGTAGTATTTTCTATTTTGGTGTTATTGCAGTGGCCTATTCCTTTTAAATCAAGATGTGTTTCATTCAGCCAGAGGAAGCTATCAAAACACAAAGCCATATGTGTGCAGGGAAGTCAGAAGTGTCTTTGAGGCTCACACTCTCAAAACAGCAACGGTTCAGCTCAATTTAGGGTGAGCCATCTGCTGAAGTTAACTTCCCACATTTACAAGATCAGAGCAAACATGAATGTAACAGTGAAGACATGTTGTGCTTAAAGACACTTTCCAATGCACAATTCCCACCCATTACATCCTGCACTTTTTCTCCTTCTCTTTAGTTCTCTGTCTCTGTGAGTGTGTGTGAGTCGATGTGTGTGTGTGCCTAACCTCCAGGCCTCGGCTCAGTTAATTCCCATGGGACACACTCTGATTGATGAGAAGGATTCGTATAGCTCGGGAGATGCTGGAGAGAAGATTTTTGGTCAAGTCTGGTCCAGATCTTTAGGCCTGTGCTCCTATTTATTGTCTTGACACCTCCGGGATAATGTGCAGTTACAAGAAAAAGTTATTGCATGCACGGGTAAAACTTCAAGCTCACGATCACGTTTAGGAAACGCTAAGGATGTGCAAAATTGAAACATTTTGTTAACAACACACTTTTCTTGGGGATTTCCTTTTTTTGTGCTGCTTTGCTATTTCAAGAAAAACCCAACGCGAGGCAAACGGAGCACCTTATTTCCCCTTTCAGCAGATTTTGTATATTAATATGCACATAAATACTGTGTTTCTATCAGCTAGTGCACTCAAAGGAACAAATGTGCTTATTCTTTTATATCCACTCAAATATGGCCCAGATATCACATATTCCCACGCTCCATGAGCTTCTTTCCCCCCCCCCCCACTCATATTTTTTGGGATGTGACTTTTTTATAGCACAATCAACCCCAATGGGTAATCTTTTTATTCTCAATTCATGACAGCGCTCACTCTACAGAGAATACTTCACTGAGAAACATAACTAAAAATGAACAGCGCAGCTCTAACATCTGTTTCTGTCTATATATATATATATTTTTTTTTGCACCATGATGGTGAGCGTATGCTAGCAAAATAAACATACAGAATACATTAAGAATGCTTTTTTTGTCCTCAGCATGACATCTGAAGAGATTTTTTAAAATCATTAAATATTTACTACTTGATGGGAAACTAAAGAAAATGTGGCGAACATGCTTATAGTTGGCAGACTGAATAGTCAGTCTTTTCAAGAATAACACATTATTACTTAGACATTTTTTCTTTAGTTTGGTGGTGGTCAAATTCCCTATGAGTGTTTCAGCCTTTAAAAATGTAATTTTCTGCACCTGACAGAAAACCACCAAGTTAGTACAGAAAGACTAACCAAACTTAACGCTAAATTTTACTTTGACCTTTTGGCTCGGCCTAAACTAATCTTGATAAATCTAGTGTAAGCATTGTGGAGATGAGTTGGACAGAAAAAAAGGATCACAAGGAAATACCACATATCTCAAAGAAGTTAATTAAGAGCACAACGAAGGGAGGCACCAACTTATTAGGAGACCATCAAGACACGAAACACCTCCAAGTTTATTTTCTTGGCCAAAGCTCTGGCCAAAAATGATGAGCCACATCAAAGCATGAGTTAAAATATGCAGTAAATGTGCCTAATCAGCAGTAGAGATGTTAAGTCTCAGTCCTGGCTGGTCTTTCTCTATAAAATTTCAAGATTTGAAGTCATTTTGCACTTGCACAACTGCCTTAGAAATATTCAGTGTTCTCGAGTAAAGTATTATATGTTACACTGGAGAAGGAAGTTTATCACCAATACTTTTTATGACATTTGTGTTGCATGCTAACTAGCCATGTCATTGCCACTTCAGCTTTTAATATATTATTATTTCAATGAAATTAAAATAACTTTTGTTTAATTTAGTTTAATTATTCATATTTCATAAATCATCAATCAAAGGTACAACCTTTGTGTTTAGCAGACCCCAAAGACCCATCTCTGCCTGATGCCTTCAACAAGTTCTATGCACTCTTTGAAGACCCGAACAGACCACCCAGCACCAGACTCACCTCACCACAGGATGAGGAGCATCTCAGCGTGACCTCAGCAGAAGTAAGGAGTACCTTCAGGAAGATTAATCCGCACAAAGCAACCGGCCCAGACAACATCCCCGGAAAAGTGTTGAAGGAATGTGCTGATCAGCTCTGTGAGGTGCTGGCAGACATCTTTAACACCTCACTTACCCTGGAGACAGTTCCCACCTGCCTGAAGACTGCCACCATCATCCCAGTCCCAAAAAGCTCTACAGTGACTGGTCTGAATGACTATCGGCCAGTGGCCCTCACCCCGATAGTTGCTAAATGCTTCGAAAAACTGATCATGACTCACATCAAAACAACCATCAACATCAACGAGGACCCTCATCAGTACGCATACCGTGAGAACCGATCAACAGAGGATGCAATCTCCTCTGTGGTCCACACTGCGCTCAACCACCTGGAGCAGAAAAACTCTTACGTCCGTATGCTCTTTGTGGACTTCACATCTGCCTTCAACACCATGATCCCTCAAACCCTGATGGACAAATTATTCACACTAGGACTAAGCCCCTCCATTTGCAACTGGGTACTAGACTTTTTAACAAACAGACCACAGTCAGTGAGGATCCACAACTTATCCTCCTCCACCATAACCCTCAGCACTGGCTCTCCTCAGGGATGTGTGTTGAGCCCCCTCCTGTTTACTCTGCTCACGTATGATTGTGCAGCTACCCATCCAGGTTGTCACATTGTAAAGTTTGCAGATGATACAGCGGTGGTGGGATGCATCACAAACAATGATGAGTCCAGCTACAGGCAAGAGGTGGAACACCTGGAGAACTGGTGCAAAGAGAATAACCTTCACATCAATGTGAAGAAGACAAAGGAGATGATTGTGGAATTCAGAAAGAACAAAAACACCTACACTTCCCTGAACATAAGAGGATCTGTGGTGGAAGTGGTCTCCAGCTACAAGTACTTGGGTGTACACATGAATGACAACCTCAGCTGGAGCAACAACACCACCAGCCTGATCAAGAAAGATCATCAGAGACTACTTCCTCAGACGGCTGAGATGAGCTGGTCTGGGAAGCTCAGTCCTCACCTCCTTCTACAGTTGTGCAGTGGAGAGCATCCTGTGCTCCAGCATCAACGTGTGGCATGGAGGCTGCACAGCTGCAGAAAAAGCTTTGCAGAGAGTGGTGAAGGCTGCACAGAAATCTGTTGGAATCAGTCTCCCCACCATCACAGACTTCTACACCTCCAGATGCAGGAAGAGAGCCACCTGCATCATGAAGGACTCCACTCACCCAGCACACACTTTTTGCCCCGCTCCCCTCAGGAAGGAGGTTGAGGAGCATTAAGTGTAGAACCACTAGACTGAGGAACAGCTTCTACCCTAAGGCTGTTAGACTCATGAATCTCTAACCAGAATAATCACTGTGGAAAAAAAAATCACATTATGTTGCTGCTGATCTGTTTCATGTTGCTGCTGGTCTATTTCATGTTGCTGCTGATCTGTTTCATGTTGCTGCTGATCTGTTTCATGTTGCTGCTGATCTAT